TCGCCGATCTTCCTTTTGCTTCCGTGATTCGTTCATAAATTTCTTTCTAGAAAAATGTCGATTTCATCGCAAAATTTCTGTTTTGATGATGATGAGATTTGTCGAGCGCGCTAGGCGAGCCTGGGTTAGCCCAGCTTCCTCTTCTTCTGATTCTAGGGGGTCTTCTGGCTGCTGAGACGAGATTTCGCCAGACCACCCCGACATCGATTCCGAGATGGTATCAGATGGTCCCGAGCCGGTCGGCCGGATTGAAGGTCTTCCTCGGAAGATATCGATGCCAAAGAGTGATTTGGTCAAAGGGGAAAGGATAAAAGACGGCCAGACCTGGATGACGGTCGACATGCTTCAGGAGCTTAGACGACGATGCAATTTCCCCGCTGGAGTCGAGGTACTTCTACCGCAAGTACATGAGAGAGTGACATCGCCGCCATAAGGTTATTTCTGCTCGTATGAATGTCACTTCGCCGAGTTCGGCTTGAGTTTTCTGCTGCCGCCACTCCTTCGTTATTGTGAAAGGAAGAAGGTGCCCCTCGGCCAGCTTTCACATGCCGCGAGTAGGCTATCTGATTTCTATGGTGGCGGTAGCTCGAGCGGAGGAGGTTCCTTTTAATTGTGACATTTTTGAGAGAATCTCGCTTTTGAAGCCCGGGAGGTAGAGCAGTTCGGGACCATGGCGTCATTTCTATACCACCATGAGGCATGGGATCGTTGGTAGAGATCCGACGAGCAAAGTGCATGACTGGGATAGATACTTCTTCTTCGTGAAGATTAATGAAGCCTTTATCAACTGCTCTGAACTCGAATTCTTCAGAGTTTGGAAGTCGAAGCTTTGTAAGCCGAACTGAACTTTTATTTTATTTTATTTTTTTTTGGGCCAATCTTTGAGATGTTAACATATTCCTTATTTTGGCAGTGATGATCAGTCTTGGGAAGGACCCATTTGGCTTCGATGTTGATATCATGAAGCTGTGCAACTTGAGCCAGAAATTATAGCCCGAAAAGGAGAAAAAGGGGGTCGCCTAGAAGAAGAAGAAGTTGGCCAAGCCGGTTGAGAAGGGAGCCAAGTCTTCGAAAGCAGATGCGTTACTCAGTCGAAGTAACTTCTTCCTTTCCTCCTTTTTTGGAGCACAACGCCCTATTTACGTGTTTTTGATATTTCAGCCGCTAAGAAGGCGTCACAGGCAAGATCTGAAGGAGCAGGCCAAAAGAGGAGACGGGCGGCTCCGGCAATGGGGGCAGATATTCCTGCGAACTCCCTTGCGAAGCGAAGGAGGACAACTCCTCGAGATCCACCCATTTTGGTGGATTCTGATGAAGCCGAGCTGGCTGCAGAGAATGAGACTCTTGCGAGGTAAATCCTTATTCTCACTTCATGTTTTGACCAAGTATCCTGCTAAAGTTAGAATAAAGGGATCCAAGAGACGATCCATATTGAGCCGTTTATCTTTTTATCTTCTTTGTATATTTTTTATTTGACCAGCCCTTGCGAGGTCTTTTTTTTTTTGTAATGACTTCGCCCAAACAGTTTTAAAATTTAATATCCGTTACTTTATATACTCCCTCTTTTTTTGCAAAAGTAAGTCGAAGTGTTCGCTAAACTTTTAAAGTTTCTATTATGCGATGGAACTTTATAGTTCGGAGTTAGGAGCGGGATTCCTTTGCCCGTCTTATACCAAACGACAATCAAGATCGAATACCAAGCTTTCAGGATTCACTTCGTCCTGAAAAATATGATCGAGGGTCGTGTAAGTATTTCCCTCGGCATTAATCTTATCTACTCTGGAAGTAATTAAATCAAACCCAAGTATCAAAGGAGTGGTGATCAGCCACTAGTTTAATTTTTGCTTTTGCTTTTTCGAATCGAATGTTTGGCCAGAACATCGATTCAGCAAGATGCATTCGCATAAGGAAAATTTACTCTACGTGCCGAGCTCATTTTCCGAAATAAAAATTTATTAAATTTACAGCTGCACCCGGAGGTTGCCAACATACCCAAGTTGGGATCAAGGCGTTCGTAGTTCACCACAATTATTGAATGAGTGTTATCAGTCAGGGGCCAAGCTGGCCCTTATTGAAAAGATTAAAAAAAACTAAATATAAAAGCTGCGAGATTCTGTGTTGATTCTACTCCGCTTGTTTGGTGTCTTCGAGGGTTTTTGCCACGGAGAGTCGCACCTTGCGTTCGCTAATAAAGCAAGATCTTGCCATCTACTGATTACCGCAAAGCGTGAAGATGCCGACCGAGGTAGCAAACTTCATGCATTGGTGGTAGGTCGACACGATGGCTTTCATCTCGTGGATCCAAGGTGTGCCAAGTATGACATTATAGATCGCTGGTTTATCCATGACAGTGAATTTGACAATCTTTTTCACTCCACCGACGTAGACTGTCAGCCGTATGGTGTCGAGGCTGAAGAAGGACTCGCTGTCAAAGCCAGTTAAAGGCTTTGACGCTGCCTAGATGTCTTTATCCTGGAGTCCCATCTTGGTCAAAGTATCTTTGAAGATGTTATTGACTGTGTTGCCTGTATCCACCAATATTTTGGCCACCTCGCTATCGTGGATGCATAATTCGATAACCAGCAGGTCGTTAGGCGGGGTGTGTAACCCGTGCATATCCTTTGATGTGAACGTGATCGTCAGATGGTAGTCCACGGGGCGAGGAAACTTTCGCGATGTAATCGCTTTTCGGCCATACACTTTCATGGCGCGAACTGAATCGTCACAGTCGGGAATTCCTCTCATGATCATGTTAACCTGTCGCTTGGACGGAGAGGGTGGATTGTCATGTTCGCCGTCATCATTTTCGTGCTCCGCTCCCTTTTCTTTTTCTTTTTCTTCTCGCTTTTTCTCGGGAGAACGACTTCGGCGTCTTCATCTAGAGCTTCTTTGGCTGATGCTTCTCCCTGGATCTCGGCGATCCTTGCTGGAGGTGCTTCGGCGCGAGTCCTTAGGGTTGGAGGTGCGTGAGTAGGAACTTTTGTTCTGGGATCGGTCTCCGCTGACGTCAATTTTTCCTTCCTTGTATTTTTCGTACAAGGAGTTATGGAGGTGTCAACAGGCCATAGTAGCATGCCTTGTTCGCCCATGGAAGGAGCAATAGAGATCGTGGTTGTCGTCCCTATCGTCTGAATTCCTTGGAGGATTGTCGCGGGTCCACTGATTCCAGGGCTTCTCTCCGGTGGCTACGACGGCATGGGAGGACGGCATGCTTTTGCCCGCCAGATCCTTGTCTTGCGAAGTGCTTGCTACGTCCATGCCGTGCTTCTTGGCATAGAAAGTTTTCTCCTCCTCCATCCGTATGAAAATTTGAGCTCGGTAGAGTGCGTCTTTTATGGTTTCCTTCGGGTTTTTCTGCAGATCCTCCTTGAAGGAGGATTCAAACCATAGGCCATTCATGAGTGCCTCGATGGCTAAAGCTTGGGGGATCTGCCCGTACGCTGCGGCGGCATTCTTGAATTTTTTGATGAAATCGCAGAGTGGCTGGTCGCGCTCTTGTACCAGAGTAAAAAGGTTGACCGTCCTCTTCGTGATGAACATAGAATAGTGTTTTATAAAGGCGTGGGACAAATCCTTGAAGGATTTGATCGATGCTGGCGAGAGGTTGGAGAACCACTTGAGAGCGTCCTTGCTGAGGTGCTCTACGGAGGTCTGACAGTGATTAGCTTCGTGTTCGAGATCGGTTTCGAACCGTTGCCACTTCATGGTTATGTTGAACCCGGTCAGCCATAGGTTCGGGTCTTCCATCCCGTTGTAGTATGGGAGTTTTAGTTTGATAGTCGGGCCAAGACGAACGTCTGTGATCCGCGAGGCGAACGGGTTGTGTTCAGCGTCTGACAGTATGGCAGAGATCTCGGGTGCCAAACTGGTGGCGCGGTGGACTTGAGATCCGATTGCATTAATCCGCTGGTGCAACCTTGTGATCTCAGAATTCAGTTCGTCGGATGGTTCCTCATTAGTTGGTGCTGCGCCCCGAGTGTTGCCTTGCTCTGGCGTCTCGAAGACCAAGCGTCATCCTAGCGGTTCTGATCTCGCGGTAGTCGCGGCTGCCAAGGTGCTGAGTTGCTCGTCATACTTGGCCTGCTGAGCCTGAAGGGTGTCTAGCTTGGATGCCAGGTTTTGTGTGAGAGGGAGTAGGGCTGCTTCGATCGCTGCTGCGAGGTCGGTGGCGAGGATATGAGCTGAGGGTGCTCCCGCGAGTGGGATCCTGATGGTAGGGTTGCCTTGCTCGTCGAGAGCAGATGTGTCTGTATGTGTGGTGGTGTCCTCGTTGTTGAGAGTGAGGTTGCTGTTATCGATCGGAAGGCTCATCGCTTCGGTTCTTTAGTCGCTAGTTTTAAGAATTTTATTCTCCTAGTCCCCACAGACGGCGCCAACTATTGAACCAGAAAATCACCACTAAGGATTTGTTTAACAGTTGTGGGTTTTAGAGAATAAGATCTTTTATTAATAGCTGTAAAGCAAAGCGATTACATGAGATGGCTTGACCGAGAAATTATGCCAAGGAGAAACCGAGTGTTTGCGAAGTAAACTAGAAAGCGTTGGAGTTCTTGGTTTTAGCTCTGCTGCTCTCTAGATTGTATGCGTTGTTCTCTTCAGCTTCAGGGTCTTCTTATTTATAGGAATAGGAGGTCGGTTGCTCCGAACTCCTTTTCATTTCTCCCTTTGATGAATATTTCCATATTTGCAAAATGAAAATATCCCTTATTCTCCGAAGAATATATAAATTTTCCTTTAGCCTCTAAGTCGATCTGATGCTTCTGGACTTCCTACATTATCCTTAGGAGTTTTCTTTTTATTCGAGCTAGGTCGGCGCGGTCCTCCTGGTCTTGATGGGGTTAGGTTATTGCTAGAGAAAGCCTTTTAGGAAACGTGCTCATTTCTCCTTTAACAATCAAGTTGCTTCACGGCCACAGCCTAATTTTACCAAGAAACAACAAAATAAGAAACTGTTGTCTTTGTTTATAGATGAAAGCTTTCTATTTCTTAGTTTCGCTTACCTGTCCTGTTTTCTCCAGCTTTCCTTTGTAAACTCTCCCAAACCCTCCTTCTCCGATCAAGAAATCTTGCTTGAAGTTGTTCGTGGCCGTCGCTAATTCACGGAATGTGAAACTCTTTGCCTCGATATTGTTTGGTGATTTTTTTTTCATTGGCACCGATTCACATATTGTTATTTGTCTCCGATCATTCCCTGTTAACAAATTTGGAAAACATTAAAAAAAACCAAAACAAACTGACCCGTTTTCTAAGAGTTTTTATTAACAAGAGCTTACACAGCGGGTTCGGTTGTTCGTAATGAGCAGTCATGGATGAGCCTTCATTGTCTTTACTTTTGTTGTGTGGTGATAACCCCAAGAAACAACTCATGCTTACAAAATCCAAAATCTAAGCAAAAACTTAGATTTATAAGATCTGTGGTATCATTTATTTTTGTTTTAGGGGTATTTTTAGAATCAACGGATCCTTAGTTTACTTCTAAAAACTTCTGCGACGTAAGTAATCCTGAGAAATATCTCCCACATCGCTGATGAGTTTTACAAGAAAAACATAAATTATGACTAGAGATCCTAGAGAACATAAAGATTATTAATCCCCTGGTTTATTTAATCCTTGGGCATTTAAATGATGATTAGTTTTCATTCTGAAAGTCAGATGTATCTTAAGAAAGGAGGGATATTTTTACGATGCTGCAAAAAACGACTAAGACAACCTCATGATTAGATGTGTGATAACTGATAAGGCTGTTTTTTCCGTTATGAAACCTCCTAAGGTAGAGAAAATTAATAGAACCGACAATCTTTGCTAAGACTTTCTAATAATAAACTAGGATGATTTGTTTTACCAGAACCATGAATGTTGGATTCTCTTTTTAGATTTTTCTTGTTTTCTCTGTCTTCTACTTATTTAACTTAAAATCTAATATATCACTACAATACATACCGGATGCAAATCAAATCAATAATTCGATCAACTATTTAAAAATTGGGTTTCATTAGTTGTCTTGAAATGATCGCAAATGGGGATTATTTCGTTTGTAAAATGCTTTATGCGAATTATACAAACCTATGATACCTCGTTTGTGCATGAAAAAAATATAAACAGAAATTTCACTTCTCCAAACGTTGTTGTTATACCTTGATAATTTTAATAATCAAGACGATAATATTATATATTAACTAGGAGAGTACATGCAGGATAAACCGATTATAAATTAAATTTTATATAGTTTTAATTAAAGTAATTATTGTGAGAATTATAAACAGAATTAGAAATCCATTGGTATTCGAATTTGTGATAGTTTTGTATAAAATATGTTTCACACCTAAAGATGGTCAAAATAAATAAATAAACAACATGATTCAATTTACGTTTTTTTAAAAATGATATAAGAGGAACTTTTTGAATAATTGTGCTACAAAAATATGAGTAAGGGTGATGATAACTTTTTTATAGAAGAAATTTAACTTGTAAAACATAGGTCAAATCTTATTGAATCCTTTTATTAATTAATGCAGATTAAGGTGCATGCATAAAAATTTTACAAATATTTTTAATATTCTTTGAATCTTACTTATTCTCTTTCATCTTTGTCTCTCTTTTCTATATCTTTTATTTTTTTTCTTCGTTCTACTCTCATTTTTTGGATTCTTCATCGTCTTCATCTCATAAAACTTTATCTTTTTTTTCTTTTTTACCCACTATATTTTATTTTCATCATTTTCTCTGACTTCTTATTCTTCTAATTTTTATTTACCTTCTTCTTCTTTGTCTTCCTCCCATTTTCGTTGTTTTTACTTCATCCTACTGTTTCTTTTTCTTATTTTTTTCTAACTTCTTACTCATATTTTTATTCTCCAACTTACTGATGTTCTTTTTTTTTCATCATTCTCGTATTATCCATCTTCTTTTTTTCCAGTTTTATTCGTCTTCTTAGTTTTTTTTTCCTACTTCTTATTCATCGTCTTATTCTTTTTCCTCCTCAAACTCGTCTTGTCATTCTTCTTCTTTTAACATAGATATTAATTTTATTTAGTTTTATATTTTTTTAACCTTTATGGTAAAAGAATTAAAAAAATCTTGAACATCAAATTAGTGTCATGCTATAATCTCTTCATGATGTAACTAAGATAAAAAAAAAATATATAGAAATATGTAGCTGTTGAAATTGAAAACAAAAATATTCATTATAGTGATACATTGGTTATATATTCTATTTATTTTACACAGAATTTCTTTGACTATAGCATTAAAATTTCTATCAAAAATCTTCTTTTAATTGTATACTATAAATATAGAATAGAATGAGAAGTGAAGTGGGTCGTAATAATGTTCTACGTTATTTTTTCTTAAATAAAATAAATTGCTTGACTTAATGGCAATACTTGAGGAGAACGATCTTCATCTTAAAATAAAAATGAAAAGCACATGCACACTAAACTAAATATACTGCAATAATGCAATTAAATGTTTTTGCTTATAAATTAAGGGGAAATTCCCTCACATGCACTCAATCTAAGTTTTTGTTTCTAATATACACTAACACTCTAAAAAATTCTTTGCATAATATTTTTTACTAAAGAGTTGACCATATTAATCTTCGTTAGACAAAACATAAGTTGATAAAAGAAGAAGAAAAATACTGTACAAACAAATGTATCAATGGTCAAAACTGATCTGAAATTCGAGTCATTTGTTTTGTTAAGGATCGTTCTTCTGTTTGATTGTGGTTTGTGATTGTGAATCTTTTAGATCTTTGGGGTTTTTTTGATGGGAAAGTGTTTTTGGGATTTAAATCTCAAAATCATATAGTGGAAGATAAATATGATATAATTGAGTGAAAAGCCAAAAAAAACCGAGCTAAAACAACAACAATGGTGAAAAAAAGGAAATAGGCAGAAATTAGGGTTTGGGTGTCGCAGAGGTGAGGAAGGAGATGAGAGTAAATTTAGGAAGCTATTTTAAACTTTTAGAAAAACTTTCCTAAAATGTATAAATTAAATAAGCCATACCATGTATTTGGGAATGTCTTTGTAAATCGTATAATTGATACTATTTTGTTAATTTAGACAATTCAAATCTAGGAAGCCCTTCTAAGATACATTTCCACAATTTAGGAAGTCCTTCCAAAATTCAGGAATTTTTTAAAAATTTAGGAATCCTTCATAAATCATATAAAACGATGTTAAATTCTAGCATTTGAAAGACCTTCCTAAAAAATTTCGAAACATTAACAGAAAAAAACATTTAGGAAGACCATCTTAAAAGCCAAAATCGGAAAACTCAAATGAAAAATGTTAGGTGTGAAAAAAAATTTAGCTTCCCTATTTTATTTGTGCTGGAAATTTGTTTTTAGTATAATTATGGAAATTGAAATACAAATAGTCCCACATCTGATACTAACCTAAAACAAACAAAAAAACCCAAGATCATAAATGGTAAAATATTAATGTCATTATTTAATCTTTTAATCTTATAAATTATTTAACGAGCTTGTTAAATGATTTGTCAAAAGGAGAAGAGAAATTAATGTATTTAAATATTAACATGGAAATGTGACATTGTAAATTTTCTAAAATAAACAAAATATTGATTGGTTGAGACAAAACTAAAATAATCTCATTTTTAAATTAAAAATAATATTATATCATATGTGAATGCATTCTCATTATATAGCTTGAATTCTAAAGTATAAATTAAACAAAAAAAATAAATGGATAGAAAAATAAATTATAAGTATCTTCTTACCAAACGTTTTATTTTTATAATACTTTATATATGAATACAAAGTAAAGGTAAAAGTAAAAATAAATCTTTACGACTTTAGTTTTCTGTAAAACTTTTAGGCTATATCTTTGGTTTAAAGAATCTCTAGCTCACCTTTATTTTAAATCTTTTAATTTAGAGGAAAAATATAGATGTTATTTTTTTCTCTATAATTGGAGGAAAAAGTAACAATGTTTTCTTTTTCTGTAAAATAGAGATGTAATTATAAATGCTAGAAAACTAGAGATGTTACTATAAACTCTAGAAAAAAAAAGTTTTCAAAAGACGCAAAACAATATGAATTTATTGTTAAACACTGAAACTGTATATGTATAAAAATATAATGTTTACATAATGTATAGAATAATTAATTAATACTTAAATATATAATTAATTATGTTTATTAAAAAATTGTATGTGCACATGCGTGTAGGCCAACCATAAAAATTAAATAAACTACTATATATTTTAATGTTTTCAGTTTATTTAGTTATCATATTAACACTTTTTATTTAAAGAAGTATTTTCAAATCTTGGTTAATATGTTTTTTTATCTTCGATTTCTATTGAAATCAATAACACTTTTCATTTGATTTATAAAAAGTGTAAATCAAAGGCATATTATTATTATTAAATATTTATATAATATTATTATTAATACATAATAAATCATATACAAATAAATCATCTTTAATATATAAAACTAATCATATATTGAACAAATAAAATATTTTATAGTCCGCACACGTTGCGAACCGATCACCTAGTAAGATAATATTTTTGAATATTTTTGATTTCTTTGTTTTTCGTAAGTGTGTCGAACAAATCATTTATTTTACTTTATACAGTTTGGCGATAGTTATGTCGTCTACACCATATGTGGGCGTAAACATATTAAAACCGATAGCATTTCAAAAAAATAATATATATATATATATATATATATATATAGTATCATCTTGTCTCCATTTCAACAGATTTAACATTTGTAGTTGTAACACATTTTTCAACTTTCACACCAAATTTGTATCTAATGTATAAAAGGATTGAATTTAAATTTTTTTTCAAAAAGACACAAATATAAATCAAGACAAATAACTAGCTCAGTAGATTTAACAATCTCTTTTAATGTCATTCCAGATTTTTTAGAAAAGAATTTATCTATTTTTCTACTTTATCTTCTATGACTTTCAGTTTTCTTCTCTTCTATAAATTCTTCTTCCACTTCATCATTTTCCTCATCTCCTCAGATTTGTTTTTTCTAATTTTGTCACATTTTTTTGTCTTTTTTTACTTTTTCTTCTACTATGTCTCGTTCATTATTTTGTTTTTAATTCTATTTTGTATTTGTCATCATTCTCGTTTTTTTCTTTCCAATATCTTTTCGATCGATCTCATCATCTTCTTCTTCATCTTCTTTATCTTTTGATTATTTTCTTTCTCGTCTTGTTATTATCATCATTTTCTCCAACAATTTACTTTGCCGTTTTTTCTCGTCTACTCCTTATTCTACTTTTATTTCCTTCCTTCTCCACTGTATTTATTTTTCTTCTTCTTCCAATTTTTGTAGTTCTCCAACTCTCTTGCGTTCTTCTTCTTCAACT